TATGCGTGCGTGTGTAGCAGCCCACCGGTGTGTGTAAATCGAGCATTTTATTGCGCATGCGTAACATGAGCCGCTCAATCATTCCAAGCATTTTTGTTTCCACTTTTTTTTTACTCTGTGTTGTCATTGTGGTATGCGTTCTTTGAGCGCCGCTGTGTCTTCTTCCATGCGTGAATCGCACCGGTATCACAAGTCGTCGCCTGAAGTTGGTCCGGTTATGCAAAGTACGCGTATCCATAACAGACAATTTTTTAAAAAATTATGCAAAAAGGTTCATATTTCATCGCTGCTGCAATTTTGTGATCAGAAAAGGAATATTTTAAGCTATTTTAATTTATGTTAACTGCAATTTAAACGTTCCTTAATAGTTTCGCCTCGAATTTGCACTTATAAATATTCAGCTAAGACGACTGGAGCGTACAAGCACTCATAATAATTCATAATTTTAATTGGCCTTTGCAAGGCTATTGAAAGGCTTTTATGTTAAGAAATGACAGCACTGCGCATTGTCGATATCCTGCTGGGTTTAATTGCTCATGATGTTAATATGCTACCAGTGGGAATCTATTAAAATTTATACTACATGTAACTTGCAATGCTCACCCAAAGCGATTTCTGGTCTCCAAAAGGAAGTAATAAATTTTTATATATGATAAATTTATTTGAAATCCTTCTGAGACAGAATTTTCGATCCCACATACTTTGTTTAACATTTTATTAACAATTCGGACTAGCACTAGCACTAAATACACTATCGATGCTCTTAAATGATAATTGACTAGACTATCGTAAAACAAAATGATTACCCAAACCCTATTATTATATATTATTATTACGCTATTATTTTATAAGATGACAGTTTGTAATGCAACTACGCATTTTTGCCCAAACGCAGATAGCGTCGGGTATCAGACATATTGACTCTGGCAGCATCTATTAAACTGTCACATACTCAATTGACAAAGCAACCAGACTAACACAAATAAGTACAACTCACCCTTCCAACAGCATTATCATTGGCGATAGTCAGTCAGCAAAGAAAGCCATCATGTGAAAGCGGTGATATTGAGGAATGTAAGATATATCGAGCCTCGCGGAAGAACATCACACTTCACAAAGTATCTCTTTGCTAGATGCACAGATATAGGAGCATTAAAAGAAACGAAATAGCAAAGACTTGAATTTATTTGGAGCATTGAAGAACTTACATTATGTTCCCAAATGACTTTTACGAACAATGTAAGGTACCTATAATCTACAAATTGCATTTACCATTGAGCTTCACCAAAATGCAGTTCATGTACTTATTAGAGTAAAAAACATATTAAATCTATCAATCAATTTCTATATCCTTCAATATGCTGAAGATTGTTATACACTCTCGTGACAGAGAGTATGAAAGTGGTGTTGTTGCATCTTCTCTAAAGATCAAATACATTAACAAGAAAAACACAGTGAAATCAATAGATTGTGTAATCATTGTGAAACAATGGGCAATATGTCAAGTATTGATTACAAGTGCCATCTCTTCCTAACCTAACCAAACTTGTTCTGCTTCCAGATCTATGTCCCCCAATAACTTATCATTGATGATCAAATTTTTGTAACATTCTTTTGGAGTGTTTACATTCGAAGGAAGGGAAACCGGGAAGAAAGAACTTTCAATACTATAAAAACTGATTGAATTAATTTATTATCCATGGATCGAATACCCACCATTCAGTAGATACATTTGATATAAACATAGCAGCAGGTTATGTTAAATTGATATTTTCTAGAAAAATTATAATGATGAATTAAAAAGATGCAAATAATGAATGATTTTTATGGTAATGAAAATATATTAAGCTCTGACTTGTGCTTAGTATAGGTAAGAATGAAGTATAAGTTATTTTAATTAGGATACACTTATTTGTGATGTGCACCAAAAAAGAAATAATATACAAGAGATTTAGTATTTATAATTAGTTTATATAATTCATCTCTTAAGTTTTAGTTTTTTACTGTAGAAACCCGTGAATCAGTTTTTTTTTCATTCACAGCAAATATTATATAACCGTATCTTCAGATATATGCTCTGAATTTCTTACATACTTCAATTTCACAATGTATTCAAGCTACTATAATATAAAGGACTATATGTTATTTATACATAATTGTGAGTAACATAACAAAAGCGCTATAAAACACATAATTACATGATTATAAAAACATTATTAAGTTTAGGATAAATTGATATTTGAGTAAAATGGCTTGTTAGTTAGTTAATTGTGGTGAAGGGAAGAAAGAGTCCTCCTCCATTAGCTAAAAAAAGCCGTTTTGAATCCATAAAAAATCGTAATACTGGGTGGTACAAAGAAGGTCAAGCTAGAACCAACCAGAGACATTTAGAAAGGCATGAATCTGGCTAAGGCTAATGCTAGAGATATCACCGAGTGTGTTGAAGAAGGTGGCTCCCAGAAAATTAAGCCTAATTCTGGCCAAACCTGGATATAGACACATCAGGTGTTCTGGTGTCCTTTCTTCGAAAGCTGGTAGACACGCATTATGGGAGATACTATAGGGTAGGCCAAGACTAGCTCCAAGCCGTCTTATAGATCCAATTTTTCCTCTACTTTTTTTTGTGCCTCTACATATACTAATATCTTAAAGAAGGTACCTATATTGAGAAAACCTATATTGAAGCTAGTTGAGCCAGTGCACTTGAGCACTTTTACTTTTTATTAACTCAAGGTATCTTCAAAACTCCTCTTTACACCTTGACTGGATTAATGTTTATCACTTCATCAGACTAAGTAATAATTGACCTTAGATCTGCATACCTTATTAGTGAGTTAGTTAGTTCCGTACAAATGTGATGTAATTGTACTTTAGCTGAAGTTGTCAAACTTATATAAAATATGTATATAATGTACTCTTCAATACAAAACCATATTGGCTTTGTGATCGATATTTATCGATATTTAATCGATACTTATAGCGCATATTAGAACTTAGGCTTTATAATTATTTTAAGTTTACTACAAATTTTTTCCATACAGCTCCACTTTCACTAGCTATTCACTCTAACAATGCACTTATTTTAATTAGAGCTTTCTAGTTTATAAAAATAAATTTACTAATAATCTATTCGTTGCTTTCTTACCTTTTAATGAGTGTAACTCATTGTGTCAGCACAATATATCGTGACAAATATTTCATCAATAGCGTAGAATTTGGGTAAATGGTAAATGGGTAAGTGTTCATCAATGTGTTGTTTCTGTTATTTCTTCTGCATACTAGCATAGTATTTTGAAATTTAACTTTAGTTATTATAATGTGACTAACTTCCTTTGAAATAAAACTTTCATATTTATTTAACATACTTCTTATTAATATCCAGAATGAAATGGCCACAAATTCAAGTATATAGTGTCTTTAAAATTGATTTTACTTAAGTTATTTTTATAATAAATAAAACATCGGGAACTTCTATAAAGAAACTTCCAAATATGTATTATTATTTATTTGTTTACATTATATATTATATAATAAATGTATTTTAGTTTAATACATTGGATAGTAAATGTTTGGAAAACATTTATTTACATCTCCAAAATAAACAAAAATATTATTTTTATCAATTATGCCATATCTGGTGAACTCATTTACTAATCTCAAAGCATATTTCCAATAATATTTGATAACTGTAAGAGAGTGGTTTCAACCGGTGCCCAAGAGATCGTTAAATGAGATGGGGTAAAAATAATCCGTAAATCAAATTTAACAGGTATGGATACATAGTTCATAGTTTGTCCACTGACACCTCACAAATTAGAAGATTTTTTTTTGTGGTCCACAAAAAAAATCCACATCTTTCAACTCCTTCACATTTATGTTTTTTAATAGATAAATTACTCTACGAAGTCAATTGATAAATAAAAATCACATGTAATTTATTTTACGTTAATTTTATTTACTTTATTTACTTAATCAGTACATTTCGGTATAAAAAGATTTAATTATTTTAATTATTATTATTTTATCATATATTATTATTAACTAAAGCTAATATAGTTTCGCATACATTTGAATATTAAATTACTTAACTAACTTAGAAGCACCCTACATTCGTCCGTTATTGCATTAGAGTATTCATTAATAAATTGCATTAGAACTAAGATATAATAGAGTAAGTAGGAGACTTGCAGTTTAAATAGCACAAATTAAGGTTTATATTATTAAATAAATAAGATATTTTAAATAAAATATAAATAAAAATAAAGTGTAGTTAATACCAAAAATTTATAAAAAATTTCTAAAATATTTTGATACAAAATTATTTAAGAAATTTGTTTGCTTATTTTTTAGCAATAAAATGAAATAAATGCATTTTAGATTAAATATTAAAATTAAATAAAATTGTTAATAAATAAGAAAAACTAAAGGACTTAGATTTGCACAGAGTGGCTTAAAAGATATTTATATCCTATTTTCAATTTATCGGATATATATATATTTTTCAAAAGCAATTTCTTTCATAATTAATTTTAAATTGATTTTTACTATATTGCTTATATAAATTTTTATTTTTATTTTTATTTTTATTATAAATTTATTAATTATAAATTTTTGAATTTGTCTTTAATTTTGATTAGCTTCTTTTTTGTGTATAGTTTAATGCTGCATTTTAATAAGTAATTTATTCACTTCTAAAATTATAACAATTTTTAGTTTATATGAATTATATTAAATTTTGGTGAAAATCACTTTTAAAAAGCAGCATTATAGAAAGATAATTTCTAAAATTTTTCGAAAATTATTTTCAAAAGTTCTGCTAAAATTTCATCAAAAAATTGAAGCATTTTAATTAAACTAAATTTTACTTATCTAAACTTAATTAAATTTCGTTTGCATATAAAAAGTAGTTAGTTGAAGTCTCTCATTAAAGGTTTTGTTATATGAAAATAGTTTTGTTTTGTTTTATTTTAATACAAATTTTGTATAAAAAATGTATTTACTAACTAAGCCTGCTTAATTGCTCTATTGTCTTCAATTTAGTTTCATTTTTTCCTTCGATTAAAAGTGTGTGTTTGCTTTCGATATTGAAATTCTAATTTTAGTATTGCTAACACCTAAGCTTTAAGCTTAACAGTTACGTTTTCAATTAAAAAAAATTCAATTTTACCATATAAAATCATATCAACCAAATGCTTTTTTTCTGCTACCACCGTGTATCTCTTTAAAACTGTTGTCCATAACGTCCTGTCATGCCGCTTTCGTACAGTTTTCCAAGTGTATCACTGGCAGTACCCACATGCGCCTGTCCATAGACCATTGCAGTTGGTGCGCCATAACTAACTGATGGAGCTGGTTCATGCTGATACAGATAACGTTCCTTCTTGTTGCGTTTTTGCACTGTCTTCCAAATAGCGATGACAGTCAGTTGTGCCAGCAAAAAGAGTGCACCCGCGATGACAAGTCCTACAAAGAAAAGTGTACAAGAGATGACAACATTTGTTTATTACGATCTACATTTTTTTCCTAACCCATTTGCTGCTCTAAAAAATCCACAGCACTGGAATATTTCTCATAATCATGGAAAAATGAGGTTATAAAGTTAAAATTGATCTTATCTCTAACGTATTTATAGTGTTTAATTTAATTGCAATTCAACAAAAAAATATTATTTGGGCATGTAAAAGTGGGACGCCCTTGAAGTATATCACTAAACAAACAGAAGACAATGAGAACAAAAGACTTAAGACACAAACAAACCTGTTCACTGAGAAAACACAATGAGGCGATGTTCTGCTACCAACCGAACAATGAAATTGCTGTAAAATTTGTAAGGTGAATGAATTGCATATTTGTGGCGCTACAATTGCTTTAGACATATAAAGTTAATGAAATGTTAGAAATCTTTACTGGTTAATTGCACTAACAAAAGGAAATAAATACCATCAATATGTAAACATAATAGACCGTCCTGACAACAGTGAGCCTATGTGCTGAGACTACAACACGCAAAGTCTAGATTCAAATCCTATCGAAGTTTGGTCTAAAAGGTTACTTAAAAATATTTTTTTAAAAAATAATGATATGCCATGTCTAACAGATCAAACAAGCACAAGTTGGAGTCCTATATATCGTTTACAGGAACGCCTGACTCCAATTGTTATCACTACAGACCAATAGGACTTGATATAGTTTTGCGCCACTGAGACTAACCAAACCTAAACTGAACATTATAATGATTTTTATGTATTGATAAAGCAGTTAGCAGCATTTTTACTATTTATTCAAATCTATTCTAGTACGCGCTCATCACATTTTCAAGTTGATTGAAATTTATATATAAGAAAATTGCAATTTTTATTGAATTTCCAGAATTCATGAAAATCATACTTTTCCAAATTATTAAAATTATATTTTTTACAAGAAGTAGCCTATATGCAACTGAAAACGGTATTCAATTACTTTCGCTACAAATAGTACTAAAATCCTTTACACATTTTCTGCCTTTGCATGACTTAATACAATATTTTTCTAATAAAAATAAGAAATAGAGAAGACATACCATTATTATTGCAATTTTCTTATTCCAAGGTATTCTACTAACAATTTATTTGTAAAAACTCTTATATATTTTATAGAACAAAACATATCTTACTACCATCATATATCATCATATATTGATTTTAAATCATGAAAGCGATTTCAGAACATTAAAAACAAAAACAAGCTTCATAAGTCAACACTTTACATATGTAACTGTCACGAAGACCGACTGAAATGCGCCGGCCTTAAGATTAACCTGCAACAAAACTGCATTTAACGCACTCCAAAAGCATTCATTGTTCGTTCAGTTTGGAATAATTGTGGTATGTCATTGATGACACGGTAACATGCGCCACAAACCATAACACCCAATTTTGTTAAAGTTTTGACTTGAAAAAAATATTTTGGAACATTCGAAAAAATCGAAAAAAAGCGAAAAAACTAGACGACAGAAGTGGAGAAAGTAGTTATGCTGCACTTGAAGCACTAAATTTTACTTTACTGATTATTTCTTGTAGGAAAGCTTATTGTGCGTGGCCTCGGCAGTGGAGCGACCAACAAGAATGTGTGTGTCCATTTGGGTGCCTTTACCAAATAGTAGAAAACACAGTTTTTGGTTTCATTTAAGTTGAAAGACCACAATATGTGGTCTATTGCAACGATGCAATGGTGCTTTGGTACTTTGGTGCTTTAGTGCTTTAGTGCTTTTGTGCACACATGCAGTGCATGTTGGACGCAATGAAATTGGACAAGTAAAAAACTGTTACAAATTTAATTTTCCTTGGCCCGCAGCCAGCAGCCATCAGATTGATAGATAATTCGAACGATCATGGAAAATGCAATAATTTGGATGTCTTCGCTTAGGTATGTTGAAACTATATTTAATGTTTCCTGCTGCACTTCCTAACGAAGTTTCGATTTCGTTACTGCTGCGGTTGCTATCCGAAGCAGTTGTGGTTGATTTTTGGTTTTAATTTTCCCTCCATTTCAATTAAATGCTTTTCTTTGTTTAGGAAAGTAAATATTTATATACTTTAATCTTCTCGTTAATATATTATTATTTCTCTAAGGCATTTAAAATATATTTTGGGCGCCTAACTGATTTCTGGGGCAAGTAATTAGTAAGCAATACTCTGTGTGCTAACAGAAAGTCTGTGTACTGCATTACTTCTGCTAGCAAGATTGTTTCTTTTATTGACTACTACAAATCTAATAACTTTCAACGGCACTTTATGCAAGTACGAGGATCAAATTATATAAATCCAATTAAAATAATTTGCCAACTTGCCACCTCATTTCTTTTAAGGTGTGTTTGCTGTGTTGTTGCATGCAAATTGCTCTAGAAATATTGTTTTACATTAAATCGCAACTGTAACAATTGACATGCAACAGGTGCTGCCAGTGTCATGCCTGATGTTGATTCTTGATGTTGATTCTGGATTTTGATGTTTATGTTGATGCTCATGTTGATGAAAGTGACGGCACTGGTGTTGAAAATGTTGGAACAAAATTAATTCGCATGACATTAACAATTCAAATTTTAGAATAGAACAGGAGGAAGGGAGCAGCAAACGTCAGCAACATTTGTTTTGTTCACGTTTGCACGACAAGAAAGCGTGCACACTTTACATATAAGCCATTAAATGCACTGTGGCATAGAACCGTACTGAACTACTGACCTGGTCGTGATCCGCTGCTGCCAGACTGTGCCGCTAAGAATAATTCGATTTGTACACAGTTCCACTACATGGCAAGAACAAATCAAATTTCAGGTACTTAATAATAGCAAATATTGTTTACGAGTTGATGAAACTTATAGTTGATAATGTTTCTGTTTGTGCCACATTTGGCAATATAATTGATACTTCGGTAGTAGTCAAGACTAGTGACATAAGGTCAGTTGCACAATGCTTATTAGTTAGATAATGAACCAAGTATAGCATACTGGCAACTAACTTCAATTAAGCACTTGCCAATTATATAATTGACTTTATCGGCAAAGATACCAGCCATCAAAAATCTAATAATTATGTTAGAAATTAGTCTCACGTGATCTTTGTGCTGTAACTAAGTATTTTAAGACCTGGAAACCTTAATTACACTGAAATTATTCAAGTTTGGTTATGCAAACAATATCATAACAAGATGTTATTCATTTACTAATCTATATAAATTAGAAAACAAAAGTTATTTCCTTCAACTAATCACACAATAATACATTAGAAAATAGGCTAACTTCTAGTTCCTTCATCGTTATTCAGTGTCCGATGTACTGACTCACTAGTTTGTGTCATTTTGGAATTAACTCCTTTAACTTTCAAGAACCAATTATATTATAAAATTTTCTAATATTTGCATAGCAATTAAATTTATTCGCCACTATCATTCACACCATAAGAATTATGATTTCTATGACCCTGTATTCATTTCTCAATTATTTATTATAATATTTATTTTATATATGCTACCAAATACTTCAAACTTACCATAACCATTCAGACAAGTAAGCGTTTCCTCATTGATTCCAGTGAATACCTTCTCGTGTCCATCAGCACCCAATGCATTAGCATCTTCCTGATTGAAACCAAATTTATCGGTTATTTGAATAGATTGCACCAATAAAATATTATCATCAGCCGCTTTGTGACTAACATCTCTCTTCTGACGCTTATCAGTGAAAGAACTAACCAAGAATTCAGCTGAAATTCAAAAAGAGTGTCAAAATAAAATAAACTTTAGAATCATTCATCACAGTAAGCAAATATAGCAAAACTTACCACCGTCACTGCCATTCAATATGGAACGTTTTCTACGTCCGAACGATTCCAATGACTTAAGCTCACCACTAACACCATCATCATTATCACAAATAACTGGTTCACAGTGTGGTATGCAAGGCGTGACCAGCGCGCGGAATTGCACCACTTCCGATGAGGGGAATTTGAAAGCATCGAATTGGGACAAAAGCACTTTAGGATTGTGCGACAATTTCTTAATAGCACCCATAATATATTGATCTGTGGGACAACCATTTGCATCTATCAAAGTAATTTCAGCGTTATCAGTACCATCCATAGCGACCAATTCACGTACGAAGATTTCATATGGACTATTTTGTTCGATGATTTCGAAACGTAAAGCCAGTGGATCACCAACTTCAGCAATGCGTTTCATGTCACTGCCATCGCGTGAGGTGATCTTCATAACCACATTTGGTGAATCAATGATGATTTCTTCGCTAAGTGAGGATTCAATTTCGCCAGTGACACCCAAATCGACGTCATTCGAAACAGTCTTGTTGGTTAGATCGTATTGGCAAGAAACGGCAAGACCCAAATCTGATGAAGTAACAATCATGTCGTGATGTTGTATGACAATGTCATTCATATAGCGGCCATAAGCACTTTGTCGAACATTGCATTCAAGATCATTGTAGCCCATGCGAAAATCAAATTCCAGCGAATTGTTGACATTTACGGAGCAAGATTTTGGCGCACCCTTGGCATAAACTTTACCGTCAAATAACTTAGATGTGCGTATTTTCGTAATCATTTCACCAGAGCGACATTCAATTGAAACATTATAGCAAGAAGAAAGTTCATAAGTGGCAGCTTCTGGTACATCCAAATAAGGGTCCAAAACATCGGTCAATGTAGCGCGACTATGATGTGAAAGACGGCAGACCATGTCACCAGTATCATTATAGTCATAAGAGTGACATCTGTAGATATATGTGGAAGAAAATAAGCATAATTTGTTTAGATGTGATGCTCCAAAAAAGTTCTGTGAAAGCTTTTGCTTTAATTAAAGAGTAATCCTACCTGTAAGGTGAGTTTAAGCACAAATCGCGACATTCATCAATGCTGTTAATATCCTGGTAAACAGAATCAACTGTCTTCAAAATTTTACCAGAAATGCGTTTGAATTCACACAGTTTACTAGGCTCTTCAGCACAATTGTTTTCCAAATAATCAGCACCGTCATATGGTTCCACATTGTTAGCACCAGTTAGTGTTATACGATCCATATCGGATAGCTCACAAAGACCCGAATGACGATAGAAGTTAGCAGATCTAAAGGTATAAGAGTCAGTAAAGTGAAGAGAAGAGTAGCAGCAAAGTAAAAGAGTAAGAAGTGTATGTGGAAAAATCCCAGGATAGCAATAGGAAGAAAGGAAGTTTTTGCAGAAGAAGAGAGTTAGAAGAGAGTTAGTTGTTCATATAAAAATGAGAGCAACCAATTGGCGAGAGGATTTAATATTTATTTGTAATAAGTCAATGTGTGCATAATTTTATTTTAATTTTTACTGTTGGCAACTCTATTACTCTGCATATTTCATCTTTTACCTTTTTGTAATTTTTTTAGTATTTCCTTGTTCGGAATTTTTGTACTTACCTGCATGTAAATTCCGTTTCACCTAGACACAGTTCCAAGCAATCACGACGTGAGTACACAGTTTGACTGGATTTGATGTGATCCACCAAACGATAACCTTGAACGCGATCAATACACCAAGCCTTTGAGCAAGGACGTACGCCCAAACAAGATTTCTGTGCGTAAATGGTAAAAACTGGAAATTGTGAACGCGAAAGTGAACCTGCGAATAAAAGTGAATAAAAAGATAATTAACACAAGGTTAAAAACTGCGTGAGATGCGCCAACTAACGCCTATTTGCGCTCACAAAATGTGTGACACTTGTTAACGGTATGTGGCGTAATCCGAAACCGGGTAGAAATGCGTCTACGCACACGCCCATTTCGTAAAAATTAACAGGCGTAAAGAAATTCATGCGCGCAAAATCGAATCACTTTTGCAATGATTCGAAAATTATGCGTTCGTTTACAGGCTGGTTTCAGTGTTTACAGAAGGAACCTGTTTCCCTACGCTGCTTAATAAAAAATAAATAATAATATTTCAACGTACAGAAGATAAAAAATAACAACAAATTTTCATACTAGGCCGCTGCAGACATATCTAGTTTAGCCTTAAGATTTTAACGGGCAACGACAAAGACTGCAAGCGCTTCAAGTGCTTCGAGAGCTTCGAGAGCTGCCTTGCAATATGTCGCTGGCATTAAAATATTATGCGTAAACGAGTAAGGTGTGTCTTCAATCTTTAACAGATTATACAATCGCTCCATTGCGGACTAACTCTTTTGCAAATCTTCGCTGCAGTTATATATTGCTCCAAGATATTTGGAGCAATCATATTTGATTGCTTTTGACGGTTTTGCATGTGTGCATTATTCGATGAGCTACATTAAGATGCTGAATGGCATTGCATTGCCAAGAATGGGGTCAAGTTTGCAGCTGGAATTTGATTAAGACAACGCATGTAATAAATTATTGAACTGATTAAACTTATTATGTCTAAACTTATTTAAATTTTGAATTTTTAAACTGATTTTAATTAAAATCTAATCAATTTTATTAGATTAAAAACAATTTTTAAAATGTTTAAAAAATCTATTAAAATAATTTGTTTAGATATAATTTATACAAATGGAACTGGAATATTAGATGGAAACTCCTTTTTATATAAAATGTATGAAAGTACAGGTGCCTATATCAACTACATTTTGTATATAGTATATCGAGAACACCTACACGTACACGTATAGTAAAGGTTGACTTGTTCTTTTCTACTTTAAATATATATACCTGCAATATATATAAAGTAGGGTACACTGCGCTGTTGTTTCTCTGAGTTTGTTTATAAAATTTCTAATATCTAATATTATTCCTAAAACAACTCTGTCAGCTTTACTGTAAATAATACTCGTATGTATCATAGCTGACTATACCGCCACTAACCGCTTTTAATAACCCCAATTCATTTTGAATTTATAGAAAGAATATTTGTTAACGTTATATTGAGCTTACCTGGCAATTCATCAGCTGTAGTTTTGAATAAGACACATAATCCAGTTTCATAATTAACTGCACTGCATGATTCGTTAATCTGACAAGCCTCCAGGCAATCGGTCAACATAAGCGTACCGGCTAATGTGTCAAGCAATTTTGATGGAGCTGATAGTACGTAACTGCAATTGCAAAGATGAAAAGATGAAAAGATTGGACATTAGAGAACATTAATAAAATTTTATAACGAAACTCATTATAAATTCAGAAAATTAATTTATTAAATAAAATATAAAAAAACACTGCAGTTGTTTTTATGCATTCCTCGCCATCGTAGGATGTCTCCCCAGTGATTGCCTGCTGGTTGCTAACTGATATGAATTGTTGTTGTCCGAATGAATAATTGCAAAAATAATATTCAGTGCGATTATCCGTATAGGATAGAAGTCAAACTAAGGCCCATGGAAAGAATTTTGTGCTGGTTGAGTTCCGTGTGTGCTTGCAGATGCATTTTAGTTTGTTATTTGTTTATTTATATTTTATCAATTTTTTAGTGGTTTGTAATTTTTTATTTACTTTTACTTGCATTGAGTAATGATGCGGGCTAAAGTCATGGCTTTCTAACAAATTTGGTTAGTGAATGTTAGGTAAATGCATACAAAATTTTTTTTTATTATTTCGAAGTGTACGAGTTTGATAAGCTAAAAAATTGAAAACGTTAATGAACAATGTTTGGCAGCAAACAAATATACTTTCGAACCAACATGTGTATAATATGAAAGCGATTTAAAGTTACACAGGAAAGTGAATATGGTATCTGCTGCCTGAATGCGGGAGAAATGCAAAGATAGAAGTTCAACAGCTTGTTGGAGAACCTTGAGCTTTGAACAAAAAATATAAAGTAAGTATTAATAATATACCAATGCAATGCTATTCCAATGCTAAGCATAATCAAAAACTTTAATGAAACATTTAGACCTGGTCCAGTATCAAAATTTAAGGACTTTAAAATATAAAATACCGCTATAGTATTTAAATTCACAACAGGACAAAAAAGTCCTAGTAGAAGAAAAAAAAAATTCTCCTAGTCCTAGTAACCAGACAGAAATGACACAGAAGTGATGTTTAAAAGAAGAGTATTACAGGATTATGCAAAATACTGAATATACTGTAAATAAAAGGAAGACCTCAAAGGACTTTTAAGCTGAAAAATACTGAAATACAAAAAGAAACTGCTTAGAACGTTTAGAAAAATAAACAAGCTGAATTAGTATATCTCATATATCTATACAACAACATCGCCCCGTTTTATAGAGTATCCCGAGTACCTCTTTCTGGCACTTCTGTTTTAGTACGTGTCTGAAGAATACATAAAGTAATATAAATGACTCACCACATTCTAATATATTATTATATACATTATATGATTATTATATTGTATGTAAAATATATTAAATAATTATCAGAATCTAATCGAGCATATAATTTATAGGTCACAAGTGTTTATTTTTTTATAGGCTAATTGGTCAAAACTTTTTTATTATTGTTGTTAAAAAGTTTTGACCAATTAGCCTATAAAGAAATAAACACTTATTAAAATTATTTGGTCACAAAATTATTAACATTTATAGGTCATTTCATAATCAGAATATATCAAGAAGTTATTTTGTGCGATACCACAAAGAGATTGAATTTCAAATATCTTCAGCAAATCTCAAACTATCTTGTGACGTGTTTATTCATAGTTCTATTATAGTACGACTTAAATGAGACTTATTTTTTATGATTTTTGATTCTTTACTTATAAATATTTGTTTTTCAAAATGAGTTATGGAGTTGCAGATAAAATAAGTTGCAATATTATATTTAAATAAAATGCTAAGAAGTTTAAATTTCAAATAAGCCTTACTTTCTTCTTAATGATAAAAATGGCAGTTCTCGTAGGTGTTCATTTGAATATTAAAAAATATATATTATCTGTCCTCTCTTTGTTTGCTAACAAAACAATAAGTAGAAAAAACTCTCTGTTGAAATCCTCTATATAAATATTCGCAATCTTGAAATTTCTTCAGAAAACCTCTGTGTAAACACTTTCAATGTTAACAGCATAAAATCATTGTATTTATCAAGAGAGAAGTATCAATAAAAGATAAAAACTTAATTAGTAAAATCTTGTCTATGAAATCGAAAACTGCTCATATATACCTAACATATGAGTCATAAAGTTTTATTTTTAGTGATTCGCTTTTATAACAGTAAACCGAAAGTGAAATATTTAACATATTTTTCGAATTTTTTTTACTATTTATCATTAGAATTCAGCAAATTCACTAATGGTCAAAAATAAAAACCATAAAATCGGAATTTAACGTTTCAAAACAAAGTTTAATGCTTTGGAACACCAAAGAAAGAAACTGACAAACGCTCAGAGCTGACAGAGCTGACAGAGCTGACAGAGATCTGCTGTAGTAGCAATATAATTTCGAATAATAAAAAGCAACAACTTCAGATACTTGATGTCTCTGCGTCAACAATACAAACGGTCGGTCCGCACAAAATGAATTAAAATGAGTTAAGATTTTTGCCGTTAGATACTTCTTTCATATGTGGAACTGTACAGTTAACAAATTAACATTTTTAATATTATTTAAATTATACTTCAAAAAAAAGCATAATATTTTAGGTTTTATGTGAGACATTAACGCAATTGAGATGGTAGTTTAATAGTTAAGCACAGTTTAGTCTTCGGACTTATCGCTTTTATATTTTAATAAAATATTCATACTTTATGATAGTCAAGTAATGTTGTTGATTAATAAATTTTAATACTTTAAAATTTCATTAAACATGTAAGATACACAACTACAAGACTTTCACATGAAGTCCGTTTATAGTTATTATGCAAGATAAAATGTTTGTGGTTTCAAATTCTACTGACTTCGAGACTTAACATCAATTAAATGATCTTTACTGTTTATAAAAGTGTAGATAGAGCTTTTTTCAAAGTTTGCAATTGCTTTATTCAAAAATTATTACCATTACAAACCATGCAGCCATCGACAAGTAATATCTGTCATCTATGTAGAATTGCCTACTTTTAAACTGAAGGAAACTTTTGCTTCTTCACTCAATAATAAACTAAATAAAATCTTAATTCTTTATTCAAATTATTGGTTCAATTTTGCTGACAATTATCATAACTCAAAAAACTTGTTTGTTTCAAAAATTATACTCTTGTTAATGCTTATCAATTTACAGTTTTGAAAAACTCCACTTACCCAGTAATAATTTCGAAACCAATCATATCGGGATCACAATCCTCCTCCACGACATTACCGGCAGTAGCTGCTTCGCTACCAGCTGCAACATTACTTGTGGAAGCAGGTTTCTCAGTTTTTGGTTCCATAGGCATTGAGGCAACTTGTGCTGGTGCTGGCGCTGGTGGTGGTGCTGCAGCTTCAACAGTTCCTGTACTTGTACCGGTTGCAGCTGAGCTCGTGTCGGAAAACGTGTGCATAGGTTTTGGCAATTCAGCATCATTTGTAGCTGTACCAGTTGGCAGAGGTGCCTCTTCAATGCTGACATCCTGATTGGCCGTGCTCGATGCTGGGGCTGCGGATGTAGTGCTGCTAACGCTACTCGCTTGCGGTGTTGGTGTTACATTTGTACGTGGAAAAGTTTTCGCTGGCTTAACTGGACGTTTTGTTTTACGTGCGGCAGTAGCGCTGCTCAGTAGCAAAAAGAGAACGAGATATAAAACGCATCGACGCAGAAACATTTTGTTGAAGTTAATAAACTCAATAGAGAGGATTCTGAAAAAAAGAAAACATTAAATTTAAAATGAATCGTGAAAAAATAAATATTGAGGTTAATATTATTATGTTGTAAAATATTTCGTCACTATTTATTTAAAAAAAATCTAAATTAAGTAGCAATAAAGTTTTATACATTGATACTTTTAATTAGGCTGCTTATGCTAATTCGAATATGCCAAATGCAATTTCGCTCCGGGCTGTTTAAAACTACACGAAATTATTAAGTTTTAGTTATATACTTGAAAGTTTTTATAATAAATTGTACGTCTCAATAGTAATAATGAAATGCGCTTATATTTGACCATTCATTCGCATTAACTGTATAACAGTATTAACGATGAAGTACTTAAACTAGCCGAACTCACCTAAACTTATTGCATTAGTTCGAAAACTAATGCATAAGTTCAGTTGCCAAGTAACTAAGCAACAAATGGCATTTGAAATTCAGGAAGTCTCTCAATATTCCAAAACTAGTCACAACATTTGACAGAGTCCATGCATTGTTTTCATGAAAATGTGAAAGAAGTGGTTTATAGTTGGGAGGTTAAGTACTAATTTTTAATTTCATAGAGATCCTCTATTCTTTTCATACCACATATATAGTGTTTGACAGCTTCGAACTTTACCATTGTAGTTGCATTACAATTCTCTTAAGACACTAAGTTCTACATAAAGATTTATTTATGTTGTGTTAAATAACAGAAAAATGTGTTAAAGCCCTCCCAGTCACAAATTTATTCTAAACTGCTTTGTGTTATATCTTTCTACAGATTTAATTACTAATTTAATAGGATTTTAATTGTTTTCTAACAATTAAATACCGCAATTGAAGCATTTGTCAGTACACATTCTACAATGCTGTAAGTGTTAAAGTCAATGCCAAGTGCGTGGCCCCACGAAAGATTTGCTCAGTACGATTATCTCACAGTTCGGTAGTCCAATGGTGTTGTAATCTTAAATCGATTGTTAGGTAAGGCAGATTTTAAACACAACAATAGATAAAATGCTATTTTAACCTTTACCTGAGAAAATTCACAACAATTTATTACAGTTACAGAGCTCGGCACTGCTGGTTTGCATTATGTTATTTCTTTTCTGGCTCTGTTTGCAACATTTTTGCTCTTCACATTAATTACAGCACTGCCCTGTGCAAATAATAACTTTACTTCCATATTTGCTTTTATTTGTTATTATTTAAATTTTATTGAAGTCTTAATTAACGAACAATAACATTTCCCACAAGTTATTACATCGGTTTTTGAAAATTATACTTAGTATTTTTAATAACAACTTAACATACGCACAGTTAGATAAAAGTAATTAACTCTTGCTGGATTTTAAATATAGACTGACTAGAATTAATTAAATTTTACTGTTGTTTAAACAGATGAAGTGCTGCTATTAATAGTTTTGATAGACTCCTTGAGCAACTTGCCTGCCCATAGATAACAAGATTACGATGACATGACTTATATAGATCAGTCGGCGAAAAACTGTTAATAAGCCACTTTAAATAATAACCAAATGTTAAAAAAAAACTTGTTGCTAAAGTACGAATTTCAGCTAACGAATATGCTTTCTTCAACTAAAAGAGCTTAAAAAATCGGTTCGTAAGGAAAACACCATTCAATCATTGATGGACACATGGGAAGGCGACTTAATTGCATGTTGTACATTCAGGCTTTAAGGCTTATTGTGATTTTCATGATAAGAAATACATAATATTGAAGTTTTTATTTATACCTGCTTATTATAAACATTTGCTTGAAGCTCTCAATGCATCATTATTAAAATTAAAAAAAAAATTAATTCTTCTTCATAAATACTAATAAATACAAATATTGTAAATGCTATGTATTAAACAAATTTCAATTTAAAATTCCTGAAGGACATTAGAAATTAGCAACCTCCTCAAAAAATAAATGACTTGAATTTATGTGGTCATGAGTATCGTGGGTTTTTGAAATAGTAGAACTGGTCATAGCAGCCTATATGAGAGTGCTTAATACATCATTTCCCCTTTCTTATAGTATTACATCAGAAAGTTAATTGGAATGGATAATCCTAACTCAATTAATTCAAAACAAAAATTGTGGTTTCTGAAGTAATGAAATCTTTAATTCATTTAAATCATATTCTTAATAATTTTAACTATATTCAATACAGCTATATTCAATGCAAGTATATTCAATACAGTCATAAAAAACAATGTTCATTTACTCTTGTATTTTTCTCATAAACCAACAGTTCACAACAGCTGTACTTATTTTCACAATAACTTTCATTGCTGATTGTTAATTTAAATAAATTTTTTTCAATTTAGTAAAAAATAATTATTATATTTGAAAAGAAAATCATATAATAATGTACATATTAGAAAAACATATGTTAACATTTACTAAACCAACAAATCTTAACCAATGCCGCCGTTGCCGCCGCTAACGTTGCTGCTCCACAGAGTCGCCAACTACCAGCAGCAGCTGCTGGCCAAGAGCTAATCCACTTAACATTTCCTTCGTTGCAAGTAATTAATTTGAATAAAAAACACATTTTTTATAGTTAATAAGCCTTTTAATAATATGCCTCCACGCTATTTCAAGGTAAGACTACAAATAGCCGCAAACGTTAGTTGCTAACTGTTTTGTGGTAAATGGTAAATAGTAAAGAGTAAATAGTAAATGGTAAGTAGTAAGTGGTAAGTGATGAGTGGTAAGTTGGTCGGTCGGTGGTTAAACCATTTTCCACGAATCGAACGAAGCAACTGTTGCACTGCAAATGCTTACCTGTTAACCCATAAAAGTAATGAAGCAATTATTGCTGTTGGAAATGCTACAATTTCGTTCAGCAATGCAAGTGCAGTTGGTGCAACAGTTTTAAGCTGAAATTAGTTTGCAGGGAAATGTTTGTACGAGTTTGTTGTGTCTATTTGCAGTCAATGAGAGCAGAGTAGAATTTTTATACTTTGTTTAGTTTGTTTAATTAGCGTGTAATTTTATAAACACAAACTTGTGAAATCTATTTGCATACAAAGATAAAGTAAAATTTATGGTTTCATTGTGTTGAGGTGCAAACAGGCAAACAGGCAGTTGCTTTCAAAATCTAATTAAAATGGGGTAAATAAGAATTTTTATGTAAATGTCTGTGTCATTTTATTTTAATGTTTATTAACCAATTTCATTCATATATACGCTCGTTTTAAAAATCATTAGAATTTTATTTATCTTTTTGTGAGATTTTGTGTATTGTGTGATTTTAATGTTAATGTAAGCATAAACATTTAATTGCCTACACGTGATGCTTATCAGCATCTGCTCTATCAGCACTATATATTAGTATGTTATATATAATATATTATTTTGGCTCATAATTGGCTTATAGGGACCTGTGATAACGTGTAATTAACTGCAACATTTAATTAAAATATTCTTTTCACATATATAATTGACGGCTTTGTACTGTAGTGCATTCAACTTTTGCTTGTTCTAAGGAAATAACCAAATGCTGCAAGCCATTTTGTTGCTTAAGTCTTTTGTTGCGCTGGGTGCTGCGTACTGGGCACTGGGTCTTGCAACTGAAGAATCACTTTATTATAATTACTTTAGTTTCTGTTCTTATAAAACAGTTTTGATTTGTGGTTAGTTTTGAGTTAATTCTCTTACAAGTCACACGCATGTTAGGTCATCCATGTATGCAATATCTTAGCTGTTTTATAATAAAATATAATTAATGCGTCAAAAGCTATGCAAGCGAGCACGCACGTTTTCAATTACGACTGCGTTACGCACAATTAACATGCAAGACTGTAAAAATATGCCTAGAAGTGCTTTTTTCATCTCCTCAAGAAGAATCAAGAACAAAACAGTGAGGAGCTGTAAGCATATCTGCGTTATGCTTTATATGTTAATTCAAGATTACCGCATGAAATATTAAATTGTTATGCGTCAGTTATTCAGTTGTGACCTAATACCGACAACAAACACTGCAAGCGGCAATTGCAATTTATGCAATTTAAATATTGCACATGCGCATGCGCATTCAGTTCCGATAGTTCAGCGTTTTTAATCAACATTTTATTGATTTGTATCTTTTAGTCTCTTTAGTATATGTTTGCACCAATTTATGTCAGTTTTCATTGCGCTTATGCAACTGATTGCACGGCTCAATAAAATTGCCTTGTGTTGCAGCGCCAATTTCAATTGTGCCAATTTCAGTGCCATGGTCAATGACATCAACTGACGCATACAAACCGAAATATATTAACACATACCGCGCTGAGCCATTGAGCCATTGAGCCACTGAGAGCGGTAAGACAGTCCGACGACGCTGACACAATGGCCATATGCGGCGATCTCATATCATAATTGCTTTTTTCATTGCCAACTAAACAATGACAAGTTATGCCTGCTTTTAAGGCTTATCGAGCATTTATTGCATTGATTTTATTTTATTACTGTTACTCGAAGGCAGGTTTTATGAGCCGCTATTGCTCTACGAATATCCACTTAAGTATCTCAGTTGGCTGGAAGTTGGAAGAAATAAAAATTGGTGCTGCTCTATTGAAGCTCGCAATTTATAAATTTAATTGTATTCCGTGCTATTATTTTGCTGCATTTTTTCCATTTTTGCATTTTTGCATTCCAGTATTTTTGTTGTTTTATTGTTATTTTATTTCGTGTTAAGAATGCGACTTTTTTTATTATTTTTCCTACTAAAAACTGTGTCGCAAATGATTAGTTATGGCAAAACGAGTTGCAGTGCAGTGCACCACAAACCGGTAAACAAATTATAATGGATGTTGCATTAAAGCATTTCTGCTGGAAGTTATTTAGGCTTTTATTTATCAGATGCAATGAGGTGTGCTAAAATAAAATTGAATTAAATTTAGCTTCAATGGGTAGAAGTTGAAAGTACGCTTCTAATATACTAGATAGAAAGATTTCTCAAGTATGTAGATGAACCAATAAATGTCAGTTAATGTCAGTTCATATTTGAAATAA